GTTGATTCAAAAAAAGTTATATTGAAAGTTGTACGAACAGGATGTATAGAAACCAGCGTGTTCAGAAGAATGCAATGAATATTGATAGCCTGAAGCTCTCGAATTTGATAAAAAACAGTTCAGAATGCTTGTAAATACTGTCGCAAGGAGTCATTCAATTTCGACAAATTATTTCATGAATTCAACATAAAAATGACGCTTTCTGTACCTTTGTGTTTGGGGAGCATAGCTCGATTATATGAATTTTGTTTCTTTCTGCTCGATATGTTACTCACTCACAGGAAATGAATAAAACTCCTTTTTATTTATTATTTTTCTTCAAAAAATGTATCGTAGGAGTTTTGCAATATTCTACTTTTGAATCAAAATAAAAGAAATCAAATATTTATTTTGAATAATATGTGAATCATCAAATAGAAAATATAGAATAAATATGTTTGTGTCGATCTCTCTCTTTCCATAGCAACTTTTTACTTTACCAAACAGTCAAAATGGTATCATAGGTTTTTTTTCTTTTTCTTTTGGTTGTGGTCACATGTCATATATTTTTATTGTGCGGTATTTTTTCTAGTTTTTTTTCTTCTGTCATTGTATAATAAAGCTTTAAACAAGAGAGAAGTAGGAATAAAATGATAGAAGTGCTATGCAATAGAGAAGAAAAGAAAAATTTTTTTTTCATATTTCAACAGAAGAATTTTATTTATTAATGACCATGAATGCGTGCCTAAATATAAAGCAAGGGAGTGAATTCATTCATACACCATTCTCATTCATCAAAACGTCGAGATTGGACACCACAAAAATTATGGATGCTCCTTCTTGTAGCAAATGGTTGAACTTTTCGAAGAACGAGCTTGACTTACTTGAAATCATGCGCATACTTGATTTTCACGGTAAAATATGTGACGTTGAGAGGACTGAAAATGAATTCTTCAATATTTTAGTTCTCCATGTGGGATATCGCCTGATAAAATTAAGGGTTTTGAATCATCAGGAAATTGTAGTAATAGTGGAGCCGTTGTTAACATTTTGTTCAATTCATAGAATATTTTAGACTGTTTCTGCTCACATTTAAATTTGTGACGATTTTTCGTAGTCAGATTTGTAATTGCATGAATTGGAGCGGCAACTTCAGGAAATCTCGGGATAAACTTGCGATACGAAGACAATACTCCAATAAACTGATTTGCTTCTTTTAACGTTCGTGGCTCTTTTAATCTTAATATAGCATTAATCTTATCATTCAATGGAATAATCGCGGATGCCGTGATTGTGTGGCCGAGATAACTGATTTTCGTTTGTGCTGTTGAACATTTTAGTGGATTCAGTTTCAAATTGTTGCGATTTAGACATTCTAAAACCTTTTGTATATGAGCTAAATGTTCTTCTGTTATTCTTCACAATATAATACTATCGTCCAAATAGCCTTGATAAAATTGACGGCATAATTGCAACACCGTTGACATAACACGTTGAAAAGTTGGTGGTGAATTCATTAAATCTAGAAGAAGGACATTGAATTGATACAAACCAAATGGAGTTATAAATGCCATCTTAAATCGATCTTCCTTCTTGATAGGAATCTGCCAAAATCCGCTTTTCAAATCTAATTTTATAAAGAAGTTATACCCTTCTCCCAATCGTTGTAAACTTTATTCCATATTTGGCAATGGGAACGAATCTTAAATTCTGACATTATTTAGCTTCTTATAATCCATCACAAATCTCCAACTGCCGTCTGACTTCGGTGTAATGGTGCGGGAGCCGCATACGGTGATTTAGCTTTTGAAATCAAACCAGTCTTTATTAATTCCACAAGAACATCATATAAAGCGTCTTCTCTCTTTTTGCTCATTGTATAACATTTCGAACATGGTGGAGAATGTGTTTTTGTGTTAATGAGATAAGATACTTCCGTCTTTGCAACTATGATCTTGGATGTATCAAATAAATGTCTATAATCTTGAAGAAACTTCTTGAATGTTTGTCGATGTTCGATATTTTCTATCGTATTCACCATATCGTCCAGATGTTCATGTGGATTCAATTTCATCATTAGATCTAGCCTAGGGTGTCATTAGATGCCTCTGCTACTAGAAATTTTGTCGTTCCGGACAATTTCTAGCATAATGATCTTTTGATGTACAAATGTGACATCCAAAATAATTTAAATTTTGTTTTGGTAGTTGTTGTTGCTGTATGGCAAAACTTGTTTGCTGTTGTGCTTGTATATTATGTCGACGATAATTATCCGGGTTTGACGATGGAAATTGTTGTTGCCATTCCTGTTGTTACGATGTTCGTTTTGGTAGTGGAATATAAACTTGCTCTTTTCGTATTGACACTGGCGTCATTTCTTCTGCTAATTTTGCAAAATGTTCAAATGTTTGGCATACTGCAAAAATTCTGTTGTTGTTTTGGATTATTTTTCTAAAATTTTTATTGTCAAATACCGTTTAACATTTGAGATTAAATATTGAAGAATATGATCATTCGATGGTGGTGGATCAATTTCATGACAAATATTCAGCAGTGATGGATATTTGTCATGAAATTGATCCATAAACTATTATCTAGAAATCGTGGTGGGACAAAATTAAAATTAATTTATTTACCATCGTCAATGATCAAGCCTGCTCTTCCTGCTTACAATGATCATCCAACAGCAGCACACTTTTCGGCTCAAAGAACGTTTGGTAAGATGAAATTTAAATATTGGTGGCCAGACATGCCAAGAACAATTGAAGATTATGTAAATTCGTGTTTAGCGTGTAAACAACACAACCACAAACGATAAAAACCACGTGGGCATCTACACCCAATTCCACCTCCTTCTGGATCTTTCCAGGTTATTGGAACAGACTATTGTGGTCCGTTTATTACAACTCCAAATGAAAATAAATATGTTTTATATATTACGGATCACTTTACAAGATGGGTTACGACTGTAGCTCTTCCAGATAGTAGTGCGCAACGGACTGCACAAGCAATTTTTAATGAATATATATGTAAATATGGAGTACCGACAATGATCATATCTGATTGTGGCTCTCATTTCCAAAACCAGTTGATGACAGCCTTATCACAATTACTTGAACATAATCATATTTATTCAACAGCATATCACCCACAGACAAATGGCATGATTGAGAGATTCAATGCAACGTTCGTCCCGCAATTAGCTAAACTTCAAAATCAAGAATCAAATAATTGAGACAAATTTCTGCCTGCTGTGGTAAATAAGATGCACGTAATGTAAGCGTAAAGTGAAATTTACTTTTCAATTTATCATATACCATTCAAAAACGGACTTCAAAATGCACAGGAATATGGAGTTTTTAGCTTTTTCTGACATTTTTTTATGCCGAAAATTCGAAAAAACTCAAAGGGTCTCAAAAACCGAAAAAATCGACCTCTGTCGTAAAATCGAGTTGTTTATAAAGATAAGTTGTGTTATAAGATGAAAGGTTGCAACTATATTTTTCTGAATTAGTGTTGAAAACTGGTTTAGAAAAAGATGTTCAGTTCATTTTAGAGGTAAACACTCATCCGCAATGGACGATGTATATATTTTCTAAATAACTACCGGAATTTGCAAGACCTAATGGAGTATTTACTTTAGTTGTTTTTTTGGCTTTTTTGTGTCTATTCAGGCATATCGAGCATTACTGCACTAATGTGTGCATAACAGCCGCTTGCACCAGCTTTACAGTCACAAGTAGCTTGTTGAATTAATAGTTGATCACTGTTAATGGTATATTAACGTGAAGCATATTCACTAGACATTGAGTGACGTACGAGCACATTTACTGTACAAATATTATTATGTTTTTCAATAAATATACGTTCAACATAACCCAAGGAGAAAAAAAATATCGACTGTCTAGCTAGCTAACTCAATATACTACCCGATATACCTAGCTAGCAATTCGAATTGGGTTATTTACTATCGGGCGATATAGCTAGCTAACACGATACATTACTAGATATAGCTAGCTAGTCCAATATA